TGTTTTGAAGCATGTACTTCGATACCAATAATTCATTGCAACCAGATAATCAATATGCACAACAAAATTTGCAATCCTGACATATTCCCAAAACCACATGACATAAATTCCTAAATACAATTACACAATCAATCCCATAATTAAACATGCTCACAAACAAATTATCAGACAACCAAAAAAATCAAGTAATCTAATCAATAAATATAGCACCGATAAGAGGCACATCTCGACAAAACTAATGTTGGTAGTAACTTCTACCACGGTCAGCTCGAGCAGAAGATCAGTTCGAATCAGTGCCTACATAAGATAATTTAGTTAAATAAATTATTCTAAAATTATTTACATAAATAAAATACTAAATTTTGTTAAGTAACACTCACGGTTGACACAAACTACACGATTCGATTTGAAGTTTGCGGGTAACGGTAGAGGAAGTGGTAACTCGGTTCCCAGTTCAGAATTTCCTGTAAAAATTATGTTGACCAATTTCAAAACCGATAAATCAATCTCAAAATAAATTACTAATTTACTATTGATAAATAAAAAATATTTTCAGATTCGATTGGGATTCGCAACAGCTTTTGGTTTGAATAACTAACTCTGCCGGTACACCGGAGAGGACTGCCGACGACGAGGGTCACCGGCAGCAGCACCCAATGGTCGGGGTGCTACAGCCGGCTTCGGTGACGGTGAACCCGCGCTACCCACTGCAGCCTCTCCACAAAACAGAACCGACAACAGCGTTTTCATGGCTGGTGAGACCATTCAACCGTGACCCAGGCTGCGTAGTGCTTTCCCCGGTGAGCGTTCGACCCCACCACGCCATACATAGTCGACGCGAGGCCCCCACGGCGAGGAGAGCGGCCAAGGCTCACGGGTTTTACGAACCCGAGCCACTCAACGTCGATGGCGAGCGATGGGGAGATGCCGAGGTACATGAGCAACGACCGAAGACTTTTCCTACGTGATCGGACGACGAATTGGCGGTGAGTGCGAGGAGGAAGGAGGGAGCGGCGCTGCTAGGGTTTTGGTGAAAAAGGGGGCGCCGCACACTAATATAATCGGGGGAGACGAGTTTGTTTGTTTTGTTTTTTTAAAAAGATCTAATTACAAGACAAGCCATCCTATTATTTAGGGTTTTGAAATAATGTGTCTTTATCCTAGTATAGCTTCTATTACGAGTTTTGCCGCAAATATTACATCGAAAATTTTAAGTACCTCCAACAGTCCCTTATTTTTCTATCTTTGTCACATAATTCCACAATAGAAATAAATTCAGATTTTGGGCCGATAAAATTGACCCACTCCCACTATTACTTGCAATCTTACTACCACTTTGAGATGTTATATTTATACTAAATTAATTTGTTTACATTAAAATAAATTAAATGAGTTTAAATATCATAAATCAATTAAATGTAATTGAAAACAAAACATGCGAATATAAAAGGCGAGCAAAAAAAGCGAAAAGAAATGTGAATATAAGTTACATGCATACTACTATGTTTTGCTTCGAATTAAAAAAAAAAGAAAGAAGAAAACTGCCCATGAAACAAATAATTGAAAAAAAAATAAAAATCCATTATAGTTTCAAAACATCAATGAATTTAATCCATAATCCGCCACCATTGTGTTAACTTTTGCAACCTATCCAGTCCACAGAAGAAAAGACAAAAATCACATGCAAGCATATAGGAACCGATGAAAATCGATATAATCTGGTTCAAAGCTAAGACGTATTGCCATTAAGTCATCCAAAATTCAAATGAACAAAACACTTGGATCAACTCATCAACCTATATCACTTTTACTACTGCTACAACTCATTGAATAAACAAGCAGTTTAACATCATATCAATTTGATTAGCTGCTGTAGTTAAATGATTTTGCAACCGTCATCATATACAGTTGACTCCATAGGTCATGTGTCAGACAAGCTCTAAGGTTTATGTTCGTACTCTAAATTGTAGGTATATACGGTAATGAAAAGTATTATATGCAGAGCATGAAAAGGGTAACAACGATAAGACAAGTGTTGATCTTTTTGTTCATAAAGGCTACAAAATTAATCTGGTTCCTGTCGTATGGATGATTATTTTCATTTAACCTGGTTAACAAATTCAACCAATTGGTAGATAATCTTTCAGAAAAGATTAGTTATGAAACTAAGAACACAAGAATAACCCCAGAGTACCTACTTATTTAAAATATTATCTGTTACTCCCAAATCAAAGTTAAAATCAAACTGCCCATTTATTAAAAAGAAAATAGCCATCGTTCAATATGGCTTACTAAAGCAATTGTTTATCAAGTCCAAACTGCAATAATACCGTAACAAACCTTGCAATATCTAGTGCAAGCAACAAAAAAGCTATTATTGGTTGCAATGCTCCTTTCCTTTCAAATAAGCTCGTAAATCTCCTTGCAAAATAAACAATGAATTAAAGTTTGAAAACCTAACTCTTAAAGAAACAGATAAGGTTGGAGCTATATTACAAAATCCAGTTATCTAGAATCACTGAAAAATAAGAGGAAACTAAGATCTGGTAAGCAATTTCGTATCAATGAATTATCCAGTGCTCATTAGCAACGAAAGAACACAAGTTGAAATCAAATCAGCAAGCCATAAAATCGGACATAAGTGCAGGATTCCATTAAGAGCGGCAAAGTGCAGTCTAAATCTCCTACATAAGTATGCCATATCCTTAATCCTTTGGCTATTATACAATCATATAATTCAAACCACCACTATGTACATACAACATACGTATATGCATGAGACCAACAAAGGTAAAGAAGTGAAAACAGAACATGGAGTATTGATCAGAACAACCAGGTTGCAAGAAAAATGAAATCACATTTAAAAGAATTATAAATCGGATGACAAAAAAAATCTAAAATTTGGCATTAAGTAGAAATCAAATACAAAACATCTGGAACGTATAGTTTAATGAATGTAAGACATCGAGAAAGACATATCTGACACAACAGAACTAATCAAATAAATTGTAAAATAGTGAACCTCAGATGAAAAAACCCAGAAAGGAAAAACAACTCAGAAAGGAAAAACAACCCAAAATAAAATAATCATCCAAATACAACAGAAAAAGAAACAAGATGAGAGAAGCACTTGAGCGAATTCCATTCGTGAAACACTTGAGCATGTTTTTTATCATCAATTTCAGATAGAAACAAGATGAGAGAAGCACAAAGAGAGAAAAGAAATTGGAGAACTTACCTAGCCAACTGAAACTTTGAAACCTGGAAGTCTTCACTTTAGCAGCAGCACAAATTTAGTGTTGAGAGTTGAGAGACGATGAGAAAAGAGAGAAGAAAGAGAGAATTAAATAGCTGTGAAATTAGGTTATGCGATTGGAATTTTTTTTAAATGTAAAATGACAAAAAAAACCTGGGGACGCATGTGAAAGTATCCAACCATCCCTGAAACGTCCCCAGCTCTCGGTGAAACGTCCCCGACGCCGTTCAGCAGTACCCTGCCATCGTGGCACGTTCCCGTTACGTACCCCAGCCGTCCCCGTGTCGTCCCCGTACCGGGGACGTATCGGGTACTTGAAACGACACACTGATGGCGTCCCCGTGCTTCCTAGCTGCAAAGATGGCTACGAATTTGCAATAAACTTTTGCAGGAGAGAGAGAGAGAGGAACAAAAAAGGGTGTAGAGTTTTGTAGTTTAGTGTGGTTTGGCTTTTTAAAGAGACCTATGATTTTGCAGTGAAAAAGCATGCAAAAAAGTCCATTGACATTCTTTTTTCATGTGTTTTTTTACATCAACCTTTCACTGTTGTGTGCAGTACAGGGCAGGCAATGGGTTTTCGATTACATGGAGCATCTATTTATCCCATCTCTTTTAAAAAGACACAAGTTCAGGTAAGACTATGTCCCTCTAGAGGAGCATGGATTGATTAAAAGCCAAGTTTCATAAACTAAGATTCCTTGTTTTAGCCAACCCACTTAGCTTATCTCATCTGTTTGCGTCTCACCCTGTTTGAAAGAAACGTAATCCTTGACGATTTCTTTCATTTATTTTACATGGATGATTATTCCTACAAGAAAACTCTGGTTGTAGGGGTCGTGTCACCATGAAAACCTAATCTTTAATTAGGCCTTATCTACTTCCTTTGACAGGCGCAACCGTGGCGACGTCCCTTTCCAATTTTCTAAAAGCTTTGCCTTGGAGATGCCATTTATCTATACTATTACTATATACGCAATAGGATGGAGAGTTTAGAAACTTAGGTTCTTCACTTTTGAAGTTTCGTTGTTAGGTAAGCCCCCACAAGGATCGTGCTATTCTCTCTCCCAACTTCATTAAATCACCAGCTCTTGCATAAACATTGATGAGGGTGTTGGAAAATTACAAATCTCCATTAAAACCTGCAAATGAAACTCTTTTGCGTTTGTTAAGCTACAAAATCTTAAGGGGAGATTTAAAATTGATGACATGATTTATAGTAATCCAGCAAGTTTCCCAACAACATTGGAGGAAAATTCAAGTGTTGATTGGAGACTTGAAAGTTGGGGTTAAAAAATAGAAAGGTTTTGGTTTAATTCTTTAAGGGTTACAGTAAAAAGAAATTGATTGATGGACCAAACTGATGTCAGATATAGTTTATGGGTCAAATTTAATACCAACGTTTTTTTTGTTAGAAGTATCTCTTCACTGGTTTAACCATTTTGTAGTAAATCAGTATAGATGAGACTAAATTTAAGAATTTTGTAGTTCAAATTTTAAAGTCTAAGGAACTTGAGGATACTAGTGTAATTTCACCATTTTTACATGTTCACAAACATTGAATGACCATATTCGTGAATACTAAAACAAACAAACATGAACACTTTCAAAAATAAATAAACTAATACGGTACTAAAAATTTAAACGATAATAAACCGAACCGAATATGAATATATTAAAAAATAAACAAACGAACACAAACATAACTTTATTCGTTCAAGTTCGATTCATTTACGGTTTACACCCCTAGGCCTTGACTTAACTCGCTATCTTTAAGCTTGTCATTAGGGTCCAGCCAATTCCCACAAGGTTGTGTGTTTATCTTCTGTCCCCCTTTTTCTCTATATTTTATGCTTGAACTTCCACGTCACTCTCATTTATAAAGGACCAACTCAACTGCGAGACTTGAAAATAGAAACTAAAACAGAGGGGGAAAACGACCAAAGATTACAAAACGAAATACGGTGATATAAGAAAGATCATTTCTCATCTCCAATAGGAGGAATTGCAATGCCTCAACAATATGAGTTCACTTTTCTCAATAAAACCAACTACTACTAAAAATACCTACATTCTTAGCTGCGTGCAGCCAAAAATTGTACCTTGGCACTTTGTCATCGGAGCTGCCTGACGCCATGTCGGTCTATCGCCTCCTGCGGTCAAGATTTCGACATCGGACATTGGTTTGATATCCCAATTAAATCGATCAGGGCCGATTACCCCTCCAATCACATATATTTCATCTCTTAGTCCTGTCATTGCAAACCCGATCCTCCTACGAAACTCGGAAGCAGAAACCACTACCTTGCTAGCTTCTTTTTCTTGCTTGACGATGAATCCATGGCTCATCACATACAGGGTTCCTTGTACTTCTGCCATTGGACCCTGGGGCCAACCGTAATCTTCTACTGTCCACCCAGAACCTATATGGTCCAGGACTTGCACCGTCGACAACCCCTTGTGCAAGACATGCACCTTTCCTCCGATAACGAATCCGGAGCATGCTGAATTGTGAGTGCAGTGGAGATCAGGTATCGGAGTCCAGAGGTCTTTCTCGGGATCATACATTTCTGCTTGAGATAGAGATTTTCTGCAGCTGGTGAATCCGCCCGCAACAATGATCTTTCCCTTCAGCACACAGCATGCAAACATGGCACGAGGTACGATCATGGATGCACGTTGAGCCCACCGACACAGTATAGGGTCATATGACCAGACTTCATTGGTTGCAAAACTCCCATCTTGGTCTCCAGTCAATGGGTCAACATCATCACTCCCACCACCAAGCACAAACAGTTTTCCACCGGTTGAGACCACACCAAAGTGGGCAAGGTGCCTGACCTTCGTGGGAAGTACCGGAAGAGTAATCCAAAGGTCATGGAGGGGATCATACATCTGCCATAAATTCTCTGGATCATATGCACACACACAAAGAAGTTCCTCTGCTGAGCCAACCTCTTGTCGAGCTTTGAACAGCTCAAAGCTACGAATGGCAGCTCTCCATGAACGAGAAACAACCTCCAACTTAGGATACAGGTAGAAGGGAACACGTGCTATGCACCGAAGGGCAACAGCATCGGGAAGGCCTTCAATTAATCCAGACATACTAACGATGATTAAATCAAATCCAATTGTTCTTCACCGACAAAGTTTTGCTATGTCAACCACAGCAGTGGAATATGCAATCTGAAAGTGAAAATTTAGAGCTTGTGTGTAAGAACCAAAACAATAATTTTGGATTTCAGAAGCAATACATTAATCAAAGTGCAGTTGAATCATGACATAATAGAATCACTATAATTGTATTTAGATGCATTTGCAGCACCATTAGCATCATTTTTTCATTGAAAATCAAATTCAGTCAATGTCACCAATACCAACAAAAAAAAGAAGCAATCATGCATAATATGAAGGTGAAACAATGCTATAAATCAATTTTAAAAATTTTCCAACAATCAAGAAAAAATTCTCCACGAGACACTGAATGGATACAGAAATCGCCATGGAAGAAATTCACCGCCAAAGCATGGCCAACTCATCACAAACTTTGGAGGAAAATAGAGTTTTTCTATTGCTTTGCATAAAGCCTTTTGTTTGTTAACGGGGTTCAAGTGTGATGTTTTCATAATAAAATTTCTTGGTTTCTATCACATTGAATTTCTCCTAGAATCAGATGATATTTTCTTAATGAAAGGGATGGAAAGATGGAAAGGTAGAAGAAGCCAGAATGGTTATAAAGGACGCAGACAAAATAAGTGGGGTTGAATGAAGGAGACAAAGTTTGGGAAGACTTTAAGTATTGACAATGAACGTTCTCAGACATAAATTTTGATCTCAGCAAGTAGGATGCACATGGACAGTACCTTCGGATATTCAATATCGGGTACTTCTCATATCATATAAACGTTATGTTCCAAGCTACAATCTCAAGTCAATGAACTTCAAAGTTCCAGCTTTATCAACATTTTTACAGTTGAAAGTTAAATCTTTTTCAAGCAATTAGTTTTGATTGAGAACTTAAACATCCAGCCTTCGAAAACACTACAATTGCTGGTTACAGTAAAGTTTTTGTCATTGAAGATGATCTCACAAGATGAGAAAACTCCGGAAGAACCTCCAAAAATTAAAATAAGATCAAAACTTAATTCATTGCCGTAAAATGCATTGGTGTTAATATTATCCGGACAGCCTGAGACTGTAATGACTAACAAACAATCCTTTCTCTAGTGGATCGCACGGGCTTACCTAGAAATGACAATGCACTGAACACTGAACCCCACAAAAAATGAGTCTATTAACTTATGTATTTCATGAATTTTGCTTGAATATAAACCCACCGTATAAATCCAGGATATTATTTTTACACTGCTCGAGTCTGGAAATCGATATAAAGCATATGCAAATTCAAAGAACAAGGGAACAACCACTTCCAATAATTAACATAATATCTGCAAAACCCTGAGTTCATGATAAAACAAGCACAAGAACCAAGAACATTTACAAACAAAACGTGGCACCGCAATACATTTCATTGCCCTGAAATCTGAATCGATCGAATTTCACCATCATAGATAATCACACTTCTAATTCACTACAACAACTAGTTAATCCCAAACCCAGAAAGAATTGAAAACCAAGAAACGCTTAAAGTTTCACCCCATATTGCCAAGAAGAAACTTCTTGTCAAGAAACGAATATAACCAACGTTGCTTCACTTTCAGATGAAACCCACCAGTAATTCAGCACAAAGAACAAAAGGGTATCCGAAAATATCAAAATTAAATCCAAATTCTAAGGAATCTCCAAAAATCATCGGTTAAAATATGAACAAGTAAAGGAAAAAATAGAAGCTTTAAATGAAGAAAAAGAAGATGCAATACCTGAAAGCCAAGACCCCAAAAAGAAGAAAAAGATTTGAGCAGCGTTGATGAAAAGAAGAGAAACAGTAGCGTGTAAATTTGCCTGAGAAGAGAAGAAGATATGCGACGGAGCAAAAGGAAACGCTGAGTTTTACAAAAACTTTTATTATTATTATTATTTTTTATATACTTTAAACTGATATTTTTTTTTATATATTTTAACAATTAACAATTAACAATTAACAATTAACATTTAACAATTAACAATTAACAATTAACAATTAACAATTAACAATTAACAATTAACAATTAACAATTAACAATTAACAATTAACAATTAACAATTAACAATTAACAATTAACAATTAACAATTAACAATTAACAATTAACAATTACAATTAACAATTAACAATTAACAATTAACAATTAACAATTAACAATTAACAATTAACAATTAACAATTAACAATTAACAATTAACAATTAACAATTAACAATTAACAATTAACAATTAACAATTAACAATTAACAATTAACAATTAACATTAACAATTAACAATTAACAATTAACAATTAACAATTAACAATTAACAATTAACAATTAACAATTAACAATTAACAATTAACAATTAACAATTAACAATTAACAATTAACAATTAGCGAGTTGACTGGATGGTTACCCGAGAAGATGGTGTTCTTGATTTTTAGTAAGTTGTTATATATTTTAAGGTAAAGTATATAAATGTTATTGATCATAGAGTACTGGTTTAATAAATTCTTAAAAAATTATGAATTCATGCAATATTCATATTTTTTAATCATATGTTATGTCATATCACATTTTGTTTATTTTTCATTTTATTTTTATCATATTTTAATTTATTTTATATTTATTAATACCATTAGATTTAAATTAATTTATTATTTATTTAAATTTCAATGCGCAGTAGGATGTAAAACTAGTTATTATTGTCAAAATGTGAATTACTTTCATTTCATAATAAAATATAAAATCTAAATGATAAAAATATATATGATTTTTCTTGAATAATTCCGACCTTGGGAGGGGAAGGAAAATTTTGTTGTTAATGAATATTGGACCCACAATTTAAGAGAAATGAGAGTGTAAACATAAAATTTTTAACCTCTTATACTAGATTTTTAAAAAAAAAAAGCTTATATAATTATTAAAATCATAAGTTGAATTAACTGTCATCAATTAAGGTATTTAAATACACAATAAAATCAAGTAAAACTATAAAATATGAATATGAATATTTTGATGACATTTTTTTTATTTTTAAGAAAATAATATAAATAAAATTTAAAATTATTATATTAAATTTTATTAAAAGTAACTTATGTATTTAAAAAATGTGAATCCACTAAAAACTTCTATTAATGTACACGAATTTAAAGATGATTTAAATTCGAGTTAATTGTATTACATGTCTCTAAACTATGATTCTTATTTTAAATTGATATTTATTCTATTTCATTCATATGTTCAACCTATGATTCTTATTCTAAATTGATCTATAAACTTTTAAATATTTTAATTTTATCTTCAAACTATGACTCTAATTTTATATTAATCTCAAAATTTTTTAATATTTCAAATCCATCCTTGAATTTATTCAAATGTGTAATTAATTTCAACCAAAATTTAACATAAATTTCAATTTTTTCCCAAAAATATAATATATTGATTGGCCTAATGTAATACCCAAAAATTTAAACAATGACCAAAATGAAAATTTTGAAAGTTTGATGGTCAAAGTAGAAATTTGGGGAAAAAATTTAGGGAATTAAGTGATAATTTCCTAAAAAGAATTTTATTCCATAAATAGATGATCTACTCTTGAGAGTGGAGTTTTATAGAAATCATATTGTTGGATTTGGAATTTAGTAAAGAAAGAGTTAAAGCCGGTAAGGAATCGGTAAATTCCGATCGAATTGGAATTTTACAAAAATTTGAAGGATGTTATAAAATGGTTGGAAATATTATTTTAATATTTTATATCAGAGAAATTTGGTCTGGAAATGTGCAATTTTTTAGATTTAACCGAAACAGTGGAATTTAGTGACTAAAACGCAAGTTTTGAAAATTTCAGGGCATTTTCGTAAGTCAAAGTCAAATTAAATTATATTTGACTTTGTAATATCAGATGGCTTGGTTTGATGGTGAATAAAAATATTCATTAAGGGTGTTTTGGTCTTATTCCAAATAAATGAATATTATATTCATTTATAGTGGAATATAATTCAAACAAAGATGAAATGCATCCAACATTTCACTCAAATTTGCTATCTTCTTCTCCAGCCAACGTGGTCTTCTCCTAAGGTAAGAACAAAGCTTCAATTCTATTTTCAAGCCATTTCTTTAGGATTATGAGTATGATGAAAATAGAAAATGGTTATTTGCGTAAAACGCTATGATTTGGTACCAATATTGCATGATTATCTTACTTGATTTCAAAATCCCCAAATCTGGAAATTTGGGTTTATACTATGGTCGTTGAAATTGATGATGATTATTGATAATTTTGAGGTTGTATGAATTGATGAAGAACATAAGGATGAGGTTAAAGAAAAACAGTTTAGATTTTGGGAATTACAGTAGGTTCGAAAATTCATCAGAAAATATATAAAAATAATTTGGATGTTATTTTTATATATTGTGTTCATATATGGATCTAGTTTTTTTTAAAACAAACGGTAATCAATTTCAAGTTGTATACAAATATATATGAATTTTTAACTGAGGAAAGGTCAGAAAAGTCGGACAGCAGAATTCTGTACAAAACAGATTTTGTTGGTGAACTTTGAAAATTCACCATAAATTGTACAGAATGAATTAGAAGGAATTCTTTATATGGATAGATTCATATTCGAGTCTAGTTTTTAACGGAAGAAACGGAATTGAATTCCAGTGTCTATATCAATACAGAATAATGATTCTTTAAGGGTAGTGCGAGTTGTCTGAATTCTGGAAATTTATGGGTTGTTGTGTAAGTGTTGTATAATTGATGTACTATGCTGGAAATTGTTGTTTGAGAATTGAAAGGAGTGTTAGATGTGAAATTGATTATTTTGGGAAGATTGAAATGATTGGTGATTTAAGTACAACAATTGCATAGTTGGGGTACTTAAAAGTATTTATGCTTTTGTAAAAGCATTTGAATGGAAATAATTTCAATGTTGGAATTATTGGTATTAAGAATTTAAGTGGTAAAATGGTGAAGACCATTTTGAGTAAATTGGAAAAGTGGGTTCCAATGTTATAAGGAATTATTAAGAGTTAAATATTTTGATAGAGGATGAATTTCAAATATAGTATGGAGATATGGTGGAATGTATTTATGTTAGTAAAATACTAACATATGGATTATTATGAATTGATGATTTATACAGATTGTGATTGATTTGTAATCGAAGCAAATCAAATATAAAAGGGCTTATGGTGGACAATAGTGAGACTTATATATTTTGAAAGACATAAAGTGTCAAGGTGAGTGCAATACATGCATGAAATTACACATGGATGTTTTATACATCGTAAGGAAGACTTGCGATAAGTCGACCTTGTTTATATTAGCATAATATTATGCAATGTTTTTATAAATTGACATGACATTGAAATGTCACGGTATGAAATCAAAATGCATTGACTATGAAAAATGTGATATTTTACCTTGAATGTTTTCGGGTATGAACTGCCCAATGTTAAATATTGATAATATACTTTGCCATGGATGAATTGAATAAAATAGACTATATGCCCAAGTAAGTCATTGAGGGACATGGTATAGTTGGCATGCCATAGAGTATAGCAGCTGCAGGTTTATATTAGCACTATAGTGTGTAAGGACACTAAGTGCAGGTTTATGTCTGGATTAGCACTATAGCGTAAGCTTAGTGTCGGTGGTGGGCACGACCTTATGTGTATTGTCCGGATTAGCACTATGGCGTAAGCTTAGTGCAGGTTTAGCACTACGGTGCATGTATTTTACTCGTATACCCAGGGTCCTCAGGGTGTTATATTGGGCTATTGTCTACGGTTTATTGGCTATGGATTATGTTTTATTGGTTAATAAATGGTAACCATGCAAATAAGCTTATGAGCTTACGGAATAATGGCAAGTATATTGAAAAAAAATAATAATAAGCTTATGAGCTTATGGAATTTAAATGGTAAGTATTTTGGTAAAAACAAGCTTATGAGCTTATGGGATGAAAGGTAAGAAATTTTATATTATTTTGATCATGGTAAAATATTGAAGATGCTATTAGCATGGTTTTATGGCATTGGATTTGAAATCTAAATTCATGCATGAATTGTATTGCACTATATATTGTTTTAATTGCCTCACTAAGTTTATACTTAGCGTGTGATGATTTTCACGCGTAGGTAAAAAGCAAAGAATAAGAATAAAGAGTTCAGAACGACATCAAGCATCGAGAGGTATATTTCAATATCAGTAAGACATCCTACGATGGATTTTGATTTAGATAGTGGCATGTAATTTGATAATGTTAAATTTATTTTGTTGAATAAATTTTGGAAATTGTTATAGTGATGAAAGGTTAATTTTTATGAGATTTATATATGAAAATTTTCGAAAGTTACTGTAGCATGAACAGTAATCCCGTTTAAAACCAAATTTTCCAGATTGTAAAAGGGGTACCGATTCCCCTTCTACCGGGAATCGATTCCCCCACTGTTCACTGTTCACTATTCGGGTACTATTCACTATTCATAATTAAAAATATTTTGAATTAAATTATTATAACGAAACGTAATTTTATATGATATGATATTTTTAAAATATCATTTACTATTTTAAGAAAATAAATTTTAAATCGCTTTTGAATTTTGAAATGGTTTTAAAAAATACGGGTGACATCCGTAATCTGTATAGGTATGAATATACAGGTTTTATTGGCATCAGAGCTACAGGTTTAGCCAATTCTAGGACTAAACCGAGGTTGTTTTTGAGTTAAAAAGTGTATACATGCTACTAGGATGTCAAAATTTACTGATATTTGTATATATACTGTGATGATGTTTATTGGGAGTAAAGTTACTTTTAATAATGTATGATGATTCTGACTATGTTCAGATG